AAGCCAGATGGCGGCTGCCCTGCGGGGCCACCCACCCGTCCCTGCCAGGCCCTGCACTCACCCTGCCAGGCGGCCTCACCCCCTGCGCTCCCCCGACCGTGTTCTGGCCCCTCCGGACCCGGGCAGCTCCATGGGCAGCTGCTCATGCGCACTGGCGGCCCGCGGCCATGTTGGTGAGGGGCGGAAGTGCCGCTCCCGCCCCGCCCCGCTCCCTCACCGCCCGGGTCTCCCCACTTCCGGAAGACTCCACTGACGGGTAGGAAGGTGTTCGAGGTGTTCCTGGGCCGAAAAGATGCCATTTCCTGGGGTCCCACCGGAAGGACGCTGAGGTTGTGACTGCTCTCAGCAAACATGGGGGAAGGAAGACTAGCGTGTACCACCATCATTGTGCTGGGCAGCGCCTTTTCGGTATCCGGGGAAAAAGTGAGGAAGCCAACCTCCGCCTCGGAGGAACGGCCGGCCGGGACGCCATCTTGGATTAGGGCATGGAGTTGAAGCGTTACCTATTGCAAGACTAAGATCGCTAACTAGGCATACTCCTTTGTATTGGCGTCAGCTGGCCTTTATGCAAAGGCCCCCTAGGCTTCCAGTTCTGTGAAAGGGATTTTTATTTCCCTCACAACAGGTCAGGATCCTCCACCTGAGTGGATCTGCGCTGTTAGGGTTGTAACGTGAAGGCCTCAGGCTCCGAGGCCAGATAAACCCTTCACTCTTAACATTGCCACTTGCTACCCCTTAGATCTTTGGCAAATCTTATCATTTAATCGAGTCTTCGTTTCCTCATCCATAACATGTAGATCCTAGTATCAGCCTGACAGAACTGTTCATGGATTAATAAACTCGGAGGCATAGATTCAATGTTCACGGTATACCTAGCTCGGTTCCTGGCACAGAATGAGCATTATGCAAATAAGTTTCTCTTCCCCTTTTGCCTGACCGCTGTGAACTCAGCTCTAGTTTCTAGCCACAGGTCTCCATGACAACATCTGAGGAAGAACACCCAAAGGACAACAACAGAAAAACAAAAGTTTGGCCAAACCTATGAAGAGACAATACTGAACCACCCATGACACGAATAAGAATAATCAGACTACACACTCTTTACATGTAAAAATACAACTTTTATTCTGAGATATCTCCCCTTCCTGAAGCAGAATTTCTGGCTCAGTCAGTCTGGAAAAGCAGGCCTACAGCCTGAATGGCCCCATTCCCCTTTCCTAAAACTGGAGGAAATTAATCCAAAGGGAAAGGGAGAGCTCAGAGAGAACTGTAGGGGACCCTTTAAGGTGACAAGAGACAGATGGCCGAGTGGAAAGAGGGTCAGACCTCCCAACAAACACAAGCCTTTGGAGAACTTCCGCCTTCATCCCAGACGGCCACGAAGGATTCAAGGGCCCCAGAACAGAACAGTGGTGGGAATACAGAAGTGGCTGTGTGTGGTAAGCCCTGACTTGGTCTTGTCCTCCCCACTTCACCTTAGGCTTCCCTGAAGGTTCACAGCCTCAGAGAAGAGCAGGAACTTGGCTGGAATTCCCCCTCTGCTTTTTTCACTTTGAAAACCCTCAAGTTTTCTGCCTACCCATGTTCCTTTTAACCAGTAACCACTCCTTGGGAACAGGATCTCGGCAACTTTCTTAGGAATCTCATACTGGCTAAGTGCTTTCTGTTTCAGACAAGCTCAAGTAAACAAGCCAACCTGTGGCCTCCCCCAGGTCAAAAAGAGAAGCAGAAGGCCAAAGGCGGTAGAATTAGCCCCTACAGCTGACCATGGGGCCCTAAAGATTCAAAACAGCTGACTGGTCCCCTTTGCAGAATGTTCTGGCCCCAATCGGTTCCTCACGTTTCCCTTGGTTAGCCTGTGTTTCAAAGGCATATGATCGGCGCTGGGGGTGCATAAGGGGGTCAAGGGGCTGAACTTCTTTGGGGGGCAGACTAAGCCGACTCCGGGGTCCAGATCCATCTGTACCTTCAGATGGGCACTCCAGGCAGCTAAGTGGCCGAAGAGAATGGGCAGGGGTCAAGCTACAGGGAGGAGTGGTTCTGGGGTTGAAACTGTAATCCCCACCTCCAGTACAGGTCTGGGTCCGCCGAACTCCCTGAGCCTCAGTCCTCTGACGTTCCCGGGCCAGGGCCACAGCAGCATCAAAGGAAAGACTGCCCCCATTCCTCCAGGAGGAGCGGGAGGCTCGGGACCCCCAAGCCCTCTCCCCAGGAGTCCCATCAAGCCGGCCAGGCCTAGGACATGGATTTGCAGGTGCCACATGGATCTTGCTACACAGTGGACTGGGCACCTTGGCAAACTGTGGTTTGGGGGGTACCACGGGCACCGAGCGGACCTGTTGGACCTGAACCAGGGTGGAAGCCAGGCGCATACCCACACTGCCCACTAAGCCAGGGGGACAGGGACACAGGTCGCAGCCCTCTGGGCTCAACTGCCCCTCAGGCGCCATCTCCTCTGGCCTGGGTGGCTGTAGGCTTGCAGGTTCCCCGTCAGCAGACTGGGCATTGTCCCCTTTGATACTGTTAACCTCCAGGGACTCTTCACCTGACCCTTCAGAGAGGGAGCTCTCTCCGAAGCTGTCGCCGCTGGCCTTTGGGTCGCCTTCAGTCTCTCCGTCCCCACACTCCCGTTCCTTGCTGGCCGCCCCTGCATCTCCTCTAGCTGCTGCTGCTGTGACTCTGTTGGCATCACCATCTCCGTGGTCTTCTCTTGCCTCCTGACCCCCAGCTCCCCTCTGTCCTTTACCATCATCTTCTCCACTTCCCTCAGCCTCGTGTTTATTTATCATTTCCCAGCTCTCCTCAGCCACTTGGGGTTCCTGGACCCCAGACTCTGGGTCCTTCCCAGTTTCTCCCTGGGTCTCCTCTCCTCCCACAGCCTCCTCCTCTTTCTCCAGCTCTCTTTGCCCCTCTTCATCTTGACCCTGCTCTCCTGCTTCCTCCACACCCATAGCCGCCTCCTCCATATGCCCCGCTTCATGGCGATGTTTGGGCTTCTCCTCCATGGCCTCTCTTTCTGCCTCACTCCCTTCACTCAAACTGACTGTCGTGTCTTGGCCTTCCTCAGCTCCTACCTCGGTCTCGCCCAACTCTTTGCCTTCCTCAGCTGCTACCGCTGTCTCACCAGACTCTCCGGGCTCTACCTCCCTCTCTGGACTCCCCTCAGCCTCTTCCCTGAGGTCCAAGCTACCGATGGGTTCAGCCACCTTGTCATCTCCAACTTCCCAGCCTGTCTGCTCTCCTGCCGCCTGCCCTGAAACCTGCTGTCCACACCGTGCCGCCTCTTCCTCCAGAGTCCCGAGACCGCCCCAGGTTGGGGGGGTGGGCTCCAGCAGGGGACTTAGGTCATCATAGGCACTCAGGAAGACTTCCTCCCCACTTTCCTCCTCAGCTTCAGGCCGGGAGCCCGCAAAGTCCAGGGAGCAGCAGCTGGGCGCCAGGACAAACTGCGCCTCTTCCAGGGAAAGGTCATCCAAGGGAGGCTCCACGGAGAACTCCTCCACCTGCAGGCACAGCGTCTGGCTCAGGACCAGGGGCTCTGTTCGCCCTCAGACCCCACCCCACGTCCACCCCTCGGTGACTCCTCCTTACCTGAGGCCCAGCTCCCAGGAGCGCCTCCAGATAGCTCATTCCAGGGTCATCCTCCCCAGGAGAGAAAGCCGCTGCTGCCTTGGCCACCTCTCCCTCCTCGGCCCCGACCCACTCAGGCTCCGAGCTGCTTGAGTCCTCTAGGAAGGAGAAGGAATCTTGCACCTCCTGGGACAGACAGTCCTCCAGGGCGGGGGCCCCGTCCGCTGGGCCGGAGTCAGCCAAGGGACTTGGGCCTGGACTTGCTTCCGACTTCTCATCTGTTGAGGGAGAGGTAGTCCCAGAATTCCAAAAGTCCAGGCCAGCCCTGACCCTTTCCAAGGTGGGGTCTTCCTAGCATGGAAGACTCTGGGCCCAGTGGTCTCAGCATACAGTGAGTCTGTCTGACTGATCCTCTCGGATCACTCTCCTTTACCTGGCTTATGGCTGCTTTTACTAAGCTCCTCCTCATAGGGCATTAGCCTATCTTCCCCGACACGTAACCCTATTGTGTAGGAACCTTGGCGGTGCATGGTGAGGAGTTAGGCTGCAATCCGCTTGGTCGGCGGTTCAAAGCCACCAGCAACTCCTTGGGAGAAAGATGGGGCTTTCTACTCCGTGAACAGTTACAGTCACAGCCTTGTAAAGCCACAGGGGGTCATTATGAGTCAGCGTTGACTTGATGGCAGTGAGAGTCGTAGGATAGTCTCCCTATTTTACGTAAGAGAAGATGATGGTGGCCCAAAGATATTAAACAATTCAAGGCCACACACCAATAAAGGGCAAAGCCAAAACTTGAGCCCAAATCGACTTCACTTTGTAGCCCACACCCTTACCCACTGTACTGTGCAGCTTTAGCCCTTCTCGTCAGTCCTATTTTAGGGGCTGGAGTCAGAGCCAAGATCAGATCCCAGCTCTGCCACTTCCTATCTATTTTAATAACAAACTGCTCAACCCCAGTCTTAGGTTCCGCCGGTAACAGACAAAGAACAGTACAGTATGGCTGTACGATATGAGAAATCTAAATGAACTAATGACTCTGAAGCGTTTCCCAGAGCATTTGGCACGTCATAAGCCCTGGATAAATATTAGATGTGATTATTCATTCTTTTATCCATTGTATATTCCCACACCGATAGTAGTAATTCCTGTCTGTGTGCTGACACGGAGCCCTGTTTTTGGATGCACCAGTGATCAGTGATCTGATCCGAAGGCCTAAGGCCTCTGACCTTCTCGGGCAAGAACCCAGCATCAGAGCTTCAGCCTAGTGCTCCAGTCCCCTTCCCTACTTCGGAGAAGTCCCTGGGTCCTCACCTGGGGGGCCAGGCCCGGGCCCAGGCCCAGGGCCCAAGGCAACACTTGGCCGGGGCTGTAGGGCAGGGCACTCAAGGCCACGAGTGAGCCTGGCCAAGGAGACGTTGGAGATGATGTTTGGGGGCACATTGAGGATAGAAGTGATGTGTAATGGGAGGTTGACATTGTAGGGGTCTGAGATGTGGACCCCGGCACAGCGCTCTGCCCGGCTGGTGCCACCAGCCCGGGCTGCTGACCGCCCAACTCGAGGGGTGCCTGGCTCAGAGTTCGTGCCACCCAGCGCCTCTGTCTCCAGCTCCTGCTCGCCCTCTGCTGCCGCCTCCACAGAATCGTTCTCCAGGCTCTCGGGCAGTAGTGGGCTAGGTCGGGGACAGCTGGTTCCTATCAATGGCTCTGCTTCTGTGGAGAGGAAAAAGCAACAGCCTCAGCGGCCAGGGAGGCTCTAGATCTAGAAAATACCCCTGGTTACACCAGGCCCAACTTCCCTCTGTCTTTCCTGCAGACTCGCCAGCCAGCCAACAGGACACCATGTACCCCGCCTGCCCATACCTCGAAAACCCCTTCTCCTTGCTGCAGGTAACAGAAACTGGTCATCGCTGCCACCCATCAACACACACACTGTCCCTTCATCCACAACATACTGTCCGAGTCATCTCTGTGGACGAACACTCATAGGACACACACAGCTAGTGATCTCACCCCCGTTCCCCAGCAGTCAGCGCAGTGGTTGATGTATGTACTATTACACACGCTCACTAAATCCTTCAGAAAGCACTGGACATATGCGCAAATACACACAGCAAGGAGTTCCCGCCTCGATCCTCCCACTCCCACATCCCAGACATGCAGACACACAGATGCACACAGAGCCAGGCCGTTGCTCACACAACCCTCATACACATGCACACAGGTCACCGGGGATGCTCTGCTCACCATCACTAGCCCCTGGCGCAGCACTCAGTGAGTCCATGCTCTTGGCTGGCCGCAGTGTCCCCTTAACAGACTTGTCCTCTGCAAGACAAGGTGTGTGACTAGCGAGCGAGCCAGGGCGGAGCGCACATCGACGAGCTGGGCCCACGTCTCCCCAGACTTACCCCTGTCCTCACCCCCTCGGGGCAGTTTCCGCTTCGTCTCATGGCCAGAGCGACCCAGGTTGAAGATGGATCTCCATTTCCTCACCTTCAGAGACCCCTTCCGCCTGCAGGGAACAGGGGGGTCGTTGGGAAGCGGGGGGAGGGCGGCCAGCGCAGGGGAGGGGGGCCCAGGAAAGGGAGCTTACTTGTGCTCAGCAATCTCAATGATAGTGTGGTAGGGCCGGATCTGCGGGGGGCCATCACCAGCCTGCAAGATGCTAGGCAGGTGGTAGGGCAGGGACCTGGGCATAGAGTCCTCAAGGCTGTTTGATGCCCGGATCCCTGGAAGTGAGCGCCATCCGCCCTCCCCTTCACCACCTAGAGGGAAACAAAGCAATTGGCCAGTGAGGGAGAGGCCAGAGAGGGACCTCGGCCACCTAGTCCAGCATTGCCCTCTCTCCCTCACCAACTTCTAGGCTGGATAAGTACTCAGTGACCACCAGGGACAGCCAGCCCTGCGAGGCCCTCAAGGGGGGGGGGCCAACATGGACAGAGAAGGCCAAGCGATCCCAGGACATTAGCCGAGTGGGCTGGGTGGGAGGATGAGCAGTCACTCTGGACCAGGATGGTGAATGAGACCTCAGGCTCCCCCCTGAACTGAAAGCAGAATCCCACTCACTGCCATCGAGTTGATGCCAACTCCCAGTGACCCTGTAGGACAGGCTAGAACCGCCCCTGTGAATTCCAAGACCACAACTCTTTATGGGAATAAAAAACCTCTTCTTTCTTCTTCACAGCAGCTGGTGGTTTCAAATCACTGGCCTTCCAGTTAGTAGCTTAATACGTAACCACTATGCCACTAGGACTCCTTGAAACTAGAATGGCCGTGCCCAAATCTCGATGGTCCTGTTATCCCTCCAGGGCTCTCATCACATGGTAATAAGGAAAATCTCTTTTCTGTGTCAGGGCTGTTTATATATATCATGGGGGACTGGACTAGTTGATCTTTGAGACCCTCTCTAACTCTGACACAACCCTCCCCAGACAGAAAATGAGAATGTGGCGGGTGGGAAGGACACTGACCAGAGAGGGCAGCGCCCCCGAAGAGCTGGTCCACATGTGTGAGGATGAATTCGACAACGATGGACTGCACACGCACCTCCATGAAGGCTGCTGTTCCGTTGAAGCCCGAGGCCTCTATGTCCTTAGACCTGCGCATATGGAGTGACTCTTCTTCTGCCCCATCGCACACCACCATCCTAAGGTTCCCTGAAAATGCCTATATCTTTTCCCTTGGATGCCCTTGCCCCCATCTCCACCTCTTTAATCAAATACAGGCTTCAAATCAGAATGCCACTTCTTCCAGGAAGCCTCCTAGTACACACTCCTCCAGATTGGCCTCTGCTTCCTCGCACAGCCAAGGCACCTTGTTTATAATGAATCACAGGGCTTCTTATTGCTTGTCCCAGTGAACTGCAGGACGTTGACTCAGTGGACACTTTGCCACCACTTGTCATGTTCTAGTCCCTGAGCTCAGGGGCAGTGCCAGTGTGATGGCAAGCACAAGGACCAAGAGAAGGGGCTCAATGTGGCTATGGTAAGCCACATCCCACTTGTCACAGGCCTGGACCTTCCTGTTTCTCAGTGGGCTCTTTGAAACTCCACAGCCCTCTCCGAGTGTGTCCACAGAGCCACACTCATCCTGGGCCAGCCTCCCACAGCTGGTCTCTCCCAGGATCGCCCCCCCTCCCCACATGCTCATTGGTGCTCCCACCTGAGAAGATTAGGGGCCCACACAATGGCCAGGTTGCGGGCATGCATGTTGGTCTCAGTGCGGAACGAGGCCATGTGCACCAAGTGCCGCATAAGGAACTCCAGGGTCCTGCAAGAAGGAGACATTTAACAAGCAGGGTAGCTATGAAGTCAGAACTGACTTCACAGCAGTGCGTTTGGTTTGATTTGTCAAGACAGGGACTTAGGGACTGGGAAAGGAGGGACGATCAAGGGTCCAGGTGGAAAGAGCACCTGAGCTGTGTAGAGAGCACCAGGACACACACCCCCACCAGGTGGGCATGGTGGAGCCCCACACACCTGTAGTTTGGCACAGGGAGCTCTCGAAGCACCTCTAGGATCTTGACCAAGCGCTCAGGCTCCATCTGCACTGCCACAGCCTCCTGCTTATGGGTAGGGTACAAGAAATAGGAGTCAATGATCTAGCAATGCCCTTGCTCACGCCCCCGAGTACCAAGCCAAACTCTCAGAAACAATCTGTGTTGCACCTTGTACAGATCTCTGGAGACAGATTGGCACAGTTGAGAAGGCTCAGGACCCAGAGTCCTCAAGAAAGACCTATGGTTGGTCCTTGGATAGGCCACTTAATAGCCATGTGACCTTGGGCAACTCACAGCTGCTCTGTATGCCTTAGTACTCATCAGGAAAGTTCCCGTGCTGAAATACAGCCGTGCATTTCTCCTTGAGGGTGCTCAGAGACTACAGAGCTATGTCTAGTTGTCCAGGGAGGCCTACACCTACCTAACCCAGTCTTCAAGGTCTCTTTGTGTAGTTGTGCTTTAAAAAAATCAAAAGCAACTTACTATAAAAGTGTTACTCAATTCAGAATAACATTTTTTTGTCATGTGTTGTCTCTTTCAAGTTACATTTGCCAAATAATCACAACTAATTGAGGGATGGCCTTGGAAAAGCTGTGACTCCTCTCAAGTGTTCTCACTCTCTTAAATGCCATGCTAGGTGATTTCTAAGAAACTTCTAGCTTTGCCCATCTGCCTTTCTCTCCCCGGGTCCCACCATTTCCATGTCCATGACTGGTCTGCTGGCCTTGGCAGAGGGAGAAGTGAGAGAGGAGGGGCAAGGGGGGAGGCAGGAGGAGCAAGGCAAGGAGATTGGGCTGAGGGTGTCTTCCCTCAGTAAGGCTTTCTTGTGGTCTCTGTCTCTGAGAAGCACGGAGACTCCTGCTGGCCTCTGATATACCTGCAGTCTCAAAAGCAGAACAGCACCTGAACCCCTTCTCCCACCTCCCCTGCCTGTCAACTCACAGCAAACTTGTCATAGAGCCGGTATGTGAGCAGGGGGTCCGGCAGTTCTCTGAAATAGGCCTTGCACAGGGAGGAGACGCAGTGAATGTCCTGGAGGTAAACATCCCGGCGCAGGTCTGGCTTCGGCTCTGCCTCGAACTCCTGCCTGGGGAGGGCAGAGTGGTCAGGAGTGGTAGGGGTTGGGGGAGATGTGGGAAGAGGTGGGAGCTGCAGAGCTGGGCTACAGGCTGGATTGTAGAGCAGCATGCTTGGGACTTGACGAAGAATGTCTGGGGTATGTATGTCCCAGGAGGCCGATCTAAGACATTGTAGATGTAGACCTGGGTGGGGCGTGCAGATGGGTAAGAGCATGAGTGACAGGTGTGTGCATGAACAGGGGGATGTGTCAGGGGGATGAGCTCTGGATGTGATGAGGTTATATTGGAGGCTGCAGATGGGGGGGATGGGCATCAGGAGGTGTTTCTGGTATGTGCAAAGATGGGTGGGTATAACAGAAGAAAATAGGGGTAATTCTTCATAAGTTTGAATTAGTCAACACTTTCTTAGCAAATTGCACACAACCAAAGGGAAAAAAAGCAATAAGTTGGATTTCGTCAAAATGCAAAACTTTTGCTTGTCAAAGGACATTATCAAGAAAGCATAAAGACAACTCACTGAATGGGAGAAAATACTTGCAAATCATCTATCCGATAAGGATCAAGCATGAGGAATATATAAAGATCTCTCAACAATAAAAAGACAGACACCCAGTTAGAAAGTGAGGCAAGCATTTGAACAGATATTTCTTCAGAAGCTAAACAAATGACCAATTAACATAAAAAAGATACTGAACACCATTCGTCGTTAGGAAAATTAGAATTAAACCCACCATGAAAGACTCCTCACGGGGGAGAGACCACCCTTATGGGGTGTTTAATGGGATATTGTTAGTACTGATTTCATGTGTTGAGATAGACTGTACAACTGCACAGACTGTGTGTCTCTTTAAACGCCTGAATAGAGAGAGAAACTCCGTCTTAAAAACCCTCTAGATCCCTTACCCCTCAGATGTAAGCATGGTCTGAAGGGCTACAGAAGAAAAGTAACCGTATAAAGAAGGAGAAGAAGAAATAATGACTTGTGCACCCTCGTCCCCAAAGGAACATCCAAGCTTTTCAACACCTTAAGAGGTTTTGTGCAGCAGATTTACCCAATACAATGTATCACTTGATCGCTTGACTGCTCAGTAATATGCCTGAAGTGAAATGAGTATTACTTCCTTTATAACTGAATTCCCCTCTAACAAAAACATTTGAACGTGTTGCTTAGAGAGAGAGAAAAATAAAAGGGATCTGCAGAGATTCTATTCCAGTCTTTCTTTGGAGCTATGTCTACAGTTTTTAGTGCATTGTGTTTCTCTACGTAATGACTCCATTTTCACATTGCATGCAGTATGTTTGTGAAGAATGCAAGTATTCACTCTTCAGTGACTAGTGTCAAATAAAATGTAAATACAAGCTTCTTTAAATGCAAAAAAAAAAAGACTCCTTCACCTGCACTGAGATGGCGGTACTCACAGACAGATAACAAGCGTCGGTGAGGAGGCAGAGAGGAAGAGAGCCCTCCCACATTGCTGGTGAGCTTCTGAAATGGTGTGGCCACTTGGAAGACAGTTTGGCAATGCCTCAAAAAGTTAAATTTAGAATTACCATCTGACCCACCAATGTCACTGGTAGGTATAGACCCCAAAGAACTAAAAATAGCAGCAGTATTCATAACACAAAAGAAGTGCTATCAACTCAAATGTCCATCAACGAATGGACTCCCCACCTCCCCCAAATGTGGTATATCCATACAATGGAATAGTATTTGATCACAAAATAGTTATGTACTGGCCTGTGAACTGAAGGACTCAGGCTACAGCAGGAGGAACAAGCATGTCGCTAAGTGAAAGAAGTTAGCAGAGATGGTATGATGCTGTAGGAAGCTGAGGGCCTGGAACAAAGTGTACACGGCCTGCTCCCAGCACTCGTGCGCACAGCGTGGCACGCCATCGCTGCGTGAGGAATGCTTCCACGGTCCGAGATCAAGCACCTCAGGACACGATAGCCCAGGTCGACGTGTGCTCCCCATAAATGCATAGACCAGCGGTTCTCAACCTGTGGGTCGCAACCCCTTTGGGGGTCGAACAACCCTTTCACAGGGGTCGCCCAATTCATCCCAGCAGCACAATGACAGTGATGAAGTAGCGACGAAAATAATGTGATGGTTGGGGGGTCACCACCACATGAGGCACTGTATGAAAGGGTCACGGCATGAGGAAGGTTGGGAACCACTGGTCTAGACAAAGTTGTTTTCTACAGATGATTGACTCCTCACGTCCAAAGATGCCTATCGTCTTAAAGAATGTTTGCTCCTCCTGTCTCTTGTATGCCTGGTGCTCCCTCTGAAGTATTCCCTCGGAATGCTTGGAATAACCAAGACTAGTCCACTGGGCATGCGCCCTCTTTCCTGTCTTCTTTTTTTTTTTTTTTCCTGTCTTCTTTAATGGTGCACGCCGCTCCTTGGGGCTGGACCCCACCATGATACTATATTGATTTATTTATATTTCGCCACTTGATCTTTTTTTTTTTTTGAAGAGCTAGAGTTTATTTTAGACTGTTGGTTTGTATTAAATTTGTGTGTGCCTGTGTGTGTGTGTGTGTGTGTGTGTGTGTGTGTACGCGCATGTGTGCATGCTGTGAAGTCTGTCACTCTAAGCGTCTCTACTGTGATGCGGACATTCCCAGATGACAGACGGTCTTCTGTTGTCGGGACCCAGGCTGGATGTGATGACGCCACGTGGGCAGAGCTCGGCCGGCAGGGTGTGCCGAACTTGATCATTTTTATTAGATTGTATAACCTGCTTACATTTAATTGTATCAATATGGTCAGATTTGGTCTGGCATTTTACATTTTGTGTTTTCTGTGCCTTATGACATTTCTGAGGAGCTCTGATGGGGTCAGAGTTATGTGCTGGGCTGTGAACTGAAAGGTCGGAAGTTTGAATCTGCCAGCAGCAGCTCCTCAGGAGAAAATCAGAGCTTTCTTTCTTACCTTCTGTTTTTTTAAAAAAACAGTTTGATTGGTACATAATTTACATATCGTACAATTCAATAGTTCAATCATTCAATCATATCAATGAGAATTATAATCATTACCATATCATTTTACAATCCCCCCCATGGTTATACCACCTTTAAAATGATTGTGCAATCACAATCAGTTCTAGTGCTCCCTCACCTCCAGCGATACTATATTTATATGAAATGTCCAGAATAGACAAATAGAAACCATGTAGATTCGTAGCCACCAGGAATCAGGTAAGGGGGGAGTGGGGGTGCATCTGCTAAGAATATGGGGTTTCTTTTGGGGGGTTATAAAATATTCTAATATTAGTGGTGATGGTTACACAACCTTGTGAATACTATTGAAACAAATGAATTGTATACTCTATGATGGTGAGTTTTACGGTATGTGAATTATAGCCCACTTTATGAAAAGAAAAGCCAGCTCTGTGTACGTGTGTGCGCATACTGGCTGGCTCTTTCTTTTGCTGAGGAGACAAGCCCTCTTTCTGAAGACAATGCAATGCTGAACACCTATGTTTTCCTTCCCAGTCTCCTTAGCCCTCCTATCTGCTCTCCCTGACAACCCAACCAAGGCCCAATGGTCCCCAGGCCTCCTGGCCTCAGATCCCTTACAGCTCTGCCGGACTCACCGGAGCTTCTGGATGTTGGAGGAGACCCCTGAGAGGCGATAGATCCCATCCACCACTCCATACTCTTCCACAAACTCTGCACAGCTCCGTAGCACCTGAGGCACTGGGGACACAAGTGGGTCAGGAAAGAGAAATCCGGTCTGGGAGGTCAGAGATTGCAGGGTATCTAACAGGTGGGAGCACTGCACAAGCGGATGTTGAGGAGAGTGATGGTGAGGTTCATGGGGAAAAAGTACTTTCAGAAAGATTCTTCCCGATCAGGGCCACCAATCCCTCTAAAACAGTGGTTCTCAGCCTTCCTAATGCCGTGACCCTTTCATACAATTCCTCTTACTGTGGTGACCCCCCCCCCCATAAAATTATTTTTGTTGCTACTCTATAACTGTAATTTTGCTACTATTATGAATCGGGCGAACCCTGTGAAATGGTCCTTCGACCCCTAAAGGGGTCACGACCCACAGGTCGAGAACCCCTGCTCTAAAACAGCTTTGTCCTTTCATGGTCTTGAGAGAATTTGTATAATATTCTACATCGGGTTAAGGAAAATGTCACTTATCTGAATTAAAATGGAACAGGGCTGATGGGGAGGGGGTGGGCATTACAGAGACACCCCATTCCTTTGGTAAGTAAGTTCATGAACACTAGTTCCACCCTTGGAAGGTGCCAAAAATAGAGACAGATCTTCAAATATGTCATCTCAAAAGGAGAAATGTATCTGTGTGCCCAACCCTTGCTGTTTTATATACGAGGGGTACCCTCCCCCCCAAAAAACCCAGAATTTATTTTTACAAAACAACATTATCACCTTCAACGTACTCTCCATTAATACATTTGTCAAATCTGTGATTTCATTCTTGGAAACATTTTCCAAACTCATCTGTTTGGATGGCTGACAGTGCTTCCCTTGTTTTTTCCTTCACCTCTTCTACATCGTCAAATTGCTGTCCTTTCACATCTCTCTTCACTCACAGAAACAAAAAGAAGTCACACAGAGTGAGGTCAGGTGAGTAAAGCATGGAGCCAGAGAGGCATGCTGTTTTTTGCCAAAACTGGTGCAGTGAGATGGCTGCGTGAGCAAGTGCCTTGTCATGGTGGCAAAACCAGCCCACCGTCTGTCACAAATCAGGTCTTTTTTGTCGCACACTGTTACACAATCTTTACAGAACCTCTAAATAGAAAACTTGATCAACAGTCTGACCTGGTGGTACCAACTCCAAATGTGCCATCCCCCTCACATTAAAAAAATAAACAACAAAAAACAAATGTACATCATCTTGGTTTTCATTTCACTTGAGGAGCTCTTTTAGGGCGAGGTGACGATGGTGTCTTTGACTGCCTTGACTAATGTTTGCTTTCGGGGTCATAAGAATAGTGCCATAACTCCTCACCAATAATGACCTTAGGAAAAAAAATCTGGGTTGCTTTTGAGCTTTGCTTTCAAAGAACAGCATGTTTCCACTGGATGCTTTTTTTCCTGGTCAGTCAGAACCCAAAGCACAGATTTCCAGTGACCCTTTGCATTCCCAAATCTTCTGTTAAAATTTGCTGAACTGAGCTCCAAGATAGTCCAGATAACTTCTACATCTCTTCAATGGTCCATCAATGGTTCAATGGTCTTCAAGCACAAGCGCGCACATTTTGTCAACATTTTCATCAGGAAGTTGATGGATGTTCAGAACAAGGTTTGTCATCAATCAACATTTCACCTTTTTTGAAACAAGAAAACCACTCATACGCATGAGGTTCTTCCCATAGCATTGTCCTTGTAAGCTCTCTTCAACATCACAGCAGCTTCTGAAGCATTTTTCCTAAGCAGGTGTGGGAAACAGAAGGATTTCTCCCAAGTTGTCTCCCCCAAATATATGCCAGACTTAGCTGCTTGAGAATGACTATACACTTGGAGGTCATCAGGAGGAGATTAGGGGTCATTGTCCCTAAGCTATCAGCCATCTGGAGCAAGCAGACACCACTGTTTATCCCACAAGTAGGGCCCACTCCCTTCTGATAAGGATAGTAGTTGTCTGTTTCCTTGTAGGAGACCCCAGAGAGGTCAAAACCGCCCAAGGATGACCAACGTTAGGCTGCCATCATGAATCTAGGGTCCGCCCATCTTGTCACAGGTATACCCCTAGACCTTCCCATTCCTATGGGCACACCCCTAGCTCATCCCCTTCCTGTCACGCTTATGCCTATCATAGATCCCCTTCCTGCAATGTGTATGCCTAATGTACTGCCCCTTGCTGTGACGTGTGATTCTATAATCATGTCCCCCTAAAGGGATATAATGATTGGTTGGCAATAAAGTAGAGGCTCTCAGCGGAGCCCGGGAAGCTCTCCCTGGTCCTGGCTCCCCCGGGCCCTTTCTGGCTCTCAGGCCAGGGGAGCGCTCCCCAGTTCCAGGTCCCCGAGGCTGCTCCTGCTCTCTTGGCCGGGTTCCCCCCACGAGGACCACCAAGCGGGGCTGAGGTGAGCAATGCTACTATGAATTGTGTCTGACTCCATTTATTCCAATCTCTTCTCTATCTCTCATGCTCTCTATGACTTTACTATAATCTTTACTTATCGCTGTACAATTGCGCCTACCGGACCTGTGATGATTTGTGGGGGACCCCCTTCCCCTTATCCCCACAAGCAGGAAACAAAATTTCACAGCCACATGCTGTTCTCTAAATTAGCCATCACAAAAATCAAGGTTAAGTGAAATTTCTTTTAAGAAAAATTTCACTGTGACCAGAGAGAACTTTCCCAGGTGACACCACTGGATGTACTAACTCAAAGCAAGTTGCCCGATGCGCACCTGTTGGGGAAAATGCATACTATGAAAGCTCTGCTCAGTGGAGCTTTGTCCAGTTGTTGTTTCTTTGTTTGGTTTTGGTTTTGGGGGGTACCCCCTTGCATGTTCTGCCACTTAGTTCTGAAAATTAGGTATTCTACTCCCTATTTTACAAATAAAAAAACTGAGGGTCAAAGAAATAATATCTCCCTAGCACCACCCAGCTAGAACCAGGATTAAAATTCAAGAGTCCAACAAGCTTTATTGTGTCCTCAGATGATGGTCCTCTCTCTCTCTGTTAATAGACTATCATATCCTTAATGACAAGATCTAAGTATGAACCATCTTGGTATTGCTCATTTTATCTGATATGGTGTCTCATACATGTACCACAAAAACAAACTAGTTGTCATTCACTCCATTCTGATTCATGGTGACCCCTATGTGTTCCAGAGAAGAATTGTGTTCTGTTGCCAAGGGCAGGTGAACCAATAAGCAAGGTAAGCACACAGAGCCCTATTGGCGTTATTGGGTAACCATGGGACTGCTAACCACAGGTGGGCGGTTAGAACCTATCAGTCACTCCGTGGGACAAAGATGAGGCTGTCTGCCTCAGAAATCCTACATGAGGTCACTAGGAGTCAGACTGGACTCAATGGCAGGGGGTTTAAGGTAATCTTGGGCCTATTCATGCTTACCCACTAATCCGTAGTGAACAATTTTGCATGGGTTTCACCACATCCAAGATGTGGTTAAAACATGTGAAAAACTGTTCGCTACAGATTGGTAAGGGAGCACAGGTAGGCCTGCACTTACCCCGCGTGCAGTCAGGGTTTGTAAATTTGAAAAAAGGCTTAGCTTCTATAGGAAGATGCTGTGGGGGCTGGGAGAGCGATAGATGCCAGCCATTCCTAGAAGAATCTCTGATGTGATGGGAGAAAAACATCGTGAAAGTATTCACTACAGATTAGTAAATAAGCACAAGTAGACCTAGCCTTCCCTTGCTTGTGCATAATGTGACGCTGATAACAGACACTGACTGTAGGGTCCTCAATAGCCACAGCTGTCAAGTCACCGTGAGTCAGATTTGAACAGCACACAGTGAAGTCACCAGGCAGTCTTTAGTCCAAGGCACCTCTAGGTGGATTCCAACTGCCCACTGATTGGTTAAAGGAACCCTGGTGGTGCTGGGAGGTAGGCATTGGGCTGCCAACACTAAGCTCACACTACCCACTACTTCATGGACGAAAGTTGAGGCTGTCTGCTCCCATAAAGATTTAGTCTGAGAAACCTCATCTTTACGGTTGCTATGAGCTAGGATCATCTGATGGTAGTGGGTTGGGTTGTAGGGACTCCTCTCAGACACGGTATTGTTGGTGATGCCTTCAAGTTGTTTTACCATCAACCCAACATGAAAGAGAAGCGCTGGCCCACAGGCTTTTCTTGGTTATAACCTCTCCAAAAGCAGAATGCAAGTCTTTCTCCTGCAGCGCCTCTGGGTGACATCTGTTAGCAGCCACGCACTTAACCAAGTGCACTCCAGGGCTCCCTTCCAGACATGTCAGCCCTCAACAGCTGTGTGTCAAATCCAGTCTCCACAGGGCCATGCAATATCTTTCCAAAGCATGTTCCTTGCTACACACTCTGCCCCCACCCTCACTCTAACTCACACCGCTGACCTTACAGACAAAATACAAATTTCTCGGTATATATCAGCTCCTTCAAAAACTAGGTCCAGTCACCATTCCACCCTCAGCTCCAACCAAGTTCCTTTACAAAGCCTATGATTCAGCCTTTTGCTAATCCATGAATAAGCCTGGATGTCATCACTCGTGTTATTCTCTTGTCAGGAACACCTTCTCCTCTGTCCTGGTGAACTCCTATGCAGTCCTCAAAACACGTTTCAAACTTTTTACTCATATCCGCATTACAGCACTCATTGCACTTTGCTATGGTTCGTTTATTTTCTATATCTACCTTCTGACAAATAGTAACCTCCTCCCCAGGAGTTACCAGTGTTGAAATAGAGCGGGTGCTGTATACATATTTGTTGACTCAATAAATGAATCAATCAATTATGACAATCAGTGGCATCCCTCAGGGACTTAGGAAAATCTTGCCTAAGACCAAGAACACTGGGTCCTATTAACAGGAATCCACCAGAGGCGTTCCTTTCAGGTTTCAGTGTTGGAAAAAAAGCTTTTTCTCCTGCGCCACTTTTCCCCCTCCTCTCTTTTTGTCCCCCTTTTGTGGGCCTTCTGAAATTTGTACCTCTTTACTTTAACCACTAGGCATCTCAGAACCCCTTCCAGGGACCATCTAAAGCCACCTGCTATGCATTTCTGGGTGCTGATCTTACTTTTGTTTTTCCTTCAACCCCATTCTTTCAGTCATTTGTTCTATCTCTTGCAACGTTCGGGGTTTTGAAAGTTATCCCAAGCTCTCTGAGGAATAAAGTGAGGTAGAAATGCATAACATGGAATGAAAGACATGATCAATAATCTGTCAAGCACGGACTTTAAGCCTTCCAGTATGCCCTGGTTTCCAGCCCCTTTGCCCTCCTGCATACCAGGGCAGGATGAGAATGAGTCAAGCCAGACCCTAGGGTGTCAAACTTAAGGAAGCACTCACTCTCAAGGTTGACCCAGTACTAGCTGTGCACTTGTGTGATCTTGAGAGTAAGTGCTTCCTTAAGAATGAGGCATGAGAGCCCACCATCACAGTCCCCCCACCCCCCATTTTCCTGACCAGGAGATAAGGAGTTCCTCTAGGCACCTCTCTGACCTCCCACTAGCCCTGGTCCTGCAGAACAACATCTCGTCAAGACCAGCTCCTATTTGACAGAGTCCTCCAAACTTGAGTCCCCAGCACTGGATGCAGAGATGGGGTGCATGACTTCTGGGTGCTAAAGCTAACCCACCTCCTCTGGAGGCTGTAGTACTCTTAGGTTGACTCATAAAGAGCCTACTGTCACCTAAAACCCCCGGGTACTTTTCCCAGGAATGGCAACCAAAGTAGGTCTTCCCCCACCCTGTGCTTCTCTGCTGATTGTGCATCTCCAGAGAAGGCCTTTAAAGGAGGCATTCAAGACCTACAGACTCAGAACCATAGAGGAAATGGGTCAACGAGATGGAGGAAGAGAAACAGGGGTCAGAGAGATGGGGGGAGTCCGGGTGAGAGAGATCAGAGAGATACAACAACGATAAAAGTTAGAGACAGGGTTGGGGTGATGGAGCCAAAGCTCTAGAGACATCAAGGGAGGGCCCCCTCACTCCAACCTCCGAGCTTAGGGACCTGGAAAGTCAGACATTGGAACAAGAGATCCCAAGTAGAAGGATTAAGAGCAGAAAGAACTCAGGACATACAGGGTTTAGGGGAGGAAGAGACCTGGGGCTGAGGATGGAAATCAATAGGCAGGCAGGATAAATTAGCCAGAAACACATGTTCCTGCTGGCTGGTCTTTTATTTTCTTGCTGGGTCTTGAGTTTAACAAGAAAAGCCGTCACCAATTTCTGTCTGTTTCCCTACTTTGCAGCTTTGTGTGCCAGGAGGGGGTGAAGGATAAGCAGGAGAGGGGTCTGCCACCAGGCTCTGGTCCCCCAGGTGATCCACCCTTGGGCTCAGGCGGGGTTGTGGTGAGGGCAGGGGTACTTCTCTCTCACTGTGGGATTCCTCCAGGGTCAGTCAAGACCAGCAACCTAGGCATCAGTCAAACACCTCTGGAGGGTATGCCCCTCCCCTGCCGGGGATTCAGGTAGGAGCCAGGAGGGTTAAAGGAGTGGGATCTGGCTGAAGGTGGGTTCAGGGTTTCAAGACAGGGCTGAAAGGTGAGTCTGAGGGAAGGGCAGTGCCAGGGGAGGCTTGCAAAGAGTCAGGAGAATGAAACCATGTGGCTCTCGGCCAACAGTCATCATTCACGTAAGAAAGCCCTTCGGAAGGAGGCCTTACACCAGCAACTGAAGTGGGTCCACTCTGCCCCCCTTTCTGGAGAGGGAGGCTCGGAGCAAGGCCACAGATGATACTCTGTCTTGAAGCCTAAGCTTTGCCTTTACCAAAGGCCAATAGGGGTGGGGCCCATTCAGGGGAGGAAAAAAGGGGAAGGAGGTGTCTGGGGAGGCAGGGGCGGGGCAGGGAGCAGGAAATGAGCTGAGAAACGCCACCACCACCACCCCTCCACTGCAGGCACTACAGTCCCAGGGCAGAAGAGGGGACAAAGAGGAAATGACAGATTGGGGTGGGGTGGGGGGCAGGGGGAGTGGGGGGTGGAGGGAAGAATTGTGCCCTTTTCTGGGAGGAGTTCAAAGTGCCAAAAACAAGCTGGGCTGGGCTGGCAGGATACCTGGATTCCATTTCAAATCCACCCAAGAAATGGAAATGTTGAGTGGCTATTCCATGGCCAGGCACAGTGGTGGCCCCTGTGAAGTCACTGGTCCTGCTGGCTTCCTAGCCCCCTCCAAGACCACCAAGGAAGGGAGTTGGGAAAGCTCCCCAGATTGTCCTCATACCCGCCTTTTGTATTCTCCTCCTCCAATCTTCCAACCAGCCTTCCAGCCATCTCTTTACTTCTTGGGATCCCCTTCTCAGCAGCTTCTCCCCTGACCCTCCACTTTGAACCAGAGGCTCCGAGAGCCTGGAGAAGGCGACTCACCCCACCCCAGACCCTCATCTGTGGGCCAGCAAGACTACAGCAGGTCCAGAGCCCACGACAATGTCCCCCGCCACCCCCTACCACCCCGCTGGCCCAGGACCTTTCTTCCAACTATGAAGCCCCGAAGTGCCAGCCTTGGACTCTCCTGTCCCCTTTCATTCAGCTCCAAGGACCAGTCATTGCTCCTCCACCACCCTGTCCCTTCAGCTCCCTCCAGGCTACAGTCTCTGCTCCTAGACACTCCATCCTCTTCCTCTCAATGGGTGCTTGCCATGCGCCACTGGCCCTCAGCCCAGAGTCCCAGGCAGGCAGTTGCTTCATGGAGCCACACGTCCTGCCTTGGAGCTCATCAGCCTCGTGGGGGGTGGGGGTGGGGGTGGGGCTGGACTGCCCCCAGAGGCTTCTACTGGCCCGGGGACTAGATTCAGCCGGCCGGAGGACCTCCATGCCCTCCCCCTCTCCGCCACCCGCCAAGAGCCACTGGCTGGCACTGAGCCGGCCTCCTTACCCTCCTGGCCCGAGTGCTGCAGGTGCTCCTGCAGGTCACATCCGAACACCCGTTCCTTCGAGCTGCCCTTCTTCTTCCCTTTCTGCCGGGCCTTCATGGCCGGAGCCCGGGGCTCTGGCCCCGCCGCCTCTGGCCCCCCAAGCCTTTGCCCTACCAGTCCCCCATGGGATCCCCAGTCGACCTCAGGGCTTGGCCCAGCCCCAGGGGGGCAGGGCTCCCAACTGAGGGGTGGAGGGTGGCCTGGGTAACGGCTGCAGCTCTGGCCTCTGGGCCCCGGACCTCACGGAAGTGGCTGTGGAAGAGGAAGCTGCCAGGACCCTGGCAAAAAGCAGTGTCTCGTGGCCTAGCCTGGCACTCGCCCTTCTCGCCCCACTCAGCCCTTAGCTGGGGAGGCGGGCGGGAAGCTGTGCAGCTCCTCAAACCCGCTTCCTGTTAGAGCATCTTTGCAACCACAGGGCCTGGGGTGGGGGAGGTAGCTGACATTCACATCCTCACGCCTTTCCAGGGCTGCACTCATTGGTCCAGGGCTGCTGATGTCAGAGCCCTGGGGTGGGGTGGTGGCGGTGCTTCAGATGAGAGCAGGTGACTGACACCCTTAGAGACCAAAGTTCTGGGGTCCGAGATGGAGACCCAAGGTTGGGCTGGGAGTGAGGCGGCCCAGGACTGTACACAGCTCATGCAGGGAGAGTGTGTCCAGGCCCTGCCTCCGCAGGCCTGTGGCCTCCGTCAGGTCACACTACCTCGCTGAGCCTCAGTGTCCGCATCTATGAAAATGAAGAGAGAGGATTAGACCCTCTCTCACCCCTCCCAGCTCTCACTCAGTGGGGCTCATCTAACTCAGGTTTCGGTTTCGTGATCTGTGTAGAGTTGTGGTTATGAGACTCAAGTGACTGCAGTAAAGGATTTAGAACATTTTGCAAAGGAAGGCATGGGATGTCCTGGAAGGGGCTCTTAGCTCCACTGTCCTACTGGGCACTCGCAGAGATGGCTGCAGGTCTGGTGGAGGGGTAGCAGAGAAGATGTCCCTGAGACAGAGAGGATGAGGATTCGAGCTCACACAGGGCCCAGACCAAGCGACAAAAGACAGTGACCAGGCACAACCGGTTTTCTCTGTTTATTTAAAAACAGAATAGCATTTTATGTACAAATATGCACATATTTACACAAAATGTACAGAGGAGGAATGGGCTATTAGACTCAAGGTCCTGGGCTGACTGGGGAGCAGGGTCTGAGAATCTCTCCGTTGGTCCAGAAGCCTACTAGCCGGCTTGGGTACCAAATCTAGGTGTTCTGGCTGAGTGTACTTGGATGAAGGGGGTCTGGTAGTGCCTCGGGTTAAACGCCAAGCGTCGAATCACAAGGTCAGTAGTTTAAACCCAGCAGCCACTCTGCAGGAGAAAGGTGAGACCGCTGGCTCCCGTAAAGACTGAGCAATCTCGAACTCCCAAGAAGCCCGGCCTGTGGGGTCACTGAGTCAGACTTGACTTGATGGCAGTAGGTTTGGTTTGGTTGTCTCGGTGAACCAAACACCAAGAGAGTTCATCTAACCCCAGCCACCATCTAGAGGATCTGCCCAAAGATAAAGACCCAGGGACCCCTGCGTCTGTGGCCATGCCCCTTGTTCACCTCGACTGGGCTCCCACCCTCTATCGTCTATATCCTTTCCTCCCTGCGTCACAACCGAACCAGAAGCCCGCTCACCAAGTCCCAGCAACTCCCCAGAAGACGACAGACAGCCGTGGAGGATAGAACTGTAAAACAGCCTCGCGTAGGGAAAGCGTTGAAGAGGGGCAGGTCTCCAAGGACCCTGCCCTGTCCTCCCGCAGCCAATAATCGAGGGGCTTTCCCGCACTCTGCCAGCAGCGAGGGCTGCCTGGATGAACAGGGCCACGGGAATTGATCCCGTGGGAGGGAGTCTGAGTAAGGTCGAGCGGTGGTGAATTCCAAGTCATCTAGAATTATAAACAATTCCAGTAACAAATGTCCGGATAAAGCGAGAATGGTTGGAGGGATGCGGGGTGTTGTTTGTTTTTCCAAAAGTCTTTTCTCGAGTGAGTGGATTGGTAGCACTCTTGCTTGAAGAAGCTGCCCCATGAGGGTTTATTTACAGGGAACTCGCTCACACAGCAGGCCCCCAGGGCACCGGAGGGCAGAGGGCTTCACTCGCCTAAGGATGGAAGCCTCTGGTGGAACTGAGCCAGCCAGCAGCGGCTTCACACTTTCGCCAACTGCTTCTGGGTGCGGGAGCCCGGCTCCCTCTACCCAGGAGACCAGAGTCCAGCCCAGCCATGCCCGCACATCTGGAGCTGGCCACCCGCCGCCACCTCCTCGATCTCCCTCCTCCAACCACTGTGTCACTAATACTGCTCTAGGGTCTGATGAGAATACCTGCCCTCACAGGCAGAGGTCACACACAGCACACGGCACGCAAGACCCCGAGCACAGCATGCCCACACAGCCACCCGAGTCTCGGGACACACACCTTGTACTTGGACTCTGACTGGACAGCAGAGACACCCGGGGGCGCACACCCAGGACACAGTCACGCTCGCAGACACTCCCAGCCAGGGACACTCACACAAGCACCCACGCACACACACAGTGACCTGCACACTCGTGGGAGGAACTCAGCCACGGAGCCCTCCGGTCCTCGGACAGAAGGGTTGGAGGAAAAGGTCGAGCAGTCAGTAGGGTGTGGAGCGTCTTCCTCGGGAAACAGGGGCCTTTGAGAAGCCCCAAGATGAGCTGAAATCCCCCATGTCAACAAAGGGAAGCAGGCCGCAAGGAGGGAGGCAGGCCTGGGTCAGACCAGGTGCCCCCGGCCGTTGATGTAGATGCCGTTGCCCGTGGGCTTCGCCCGGAGGGTCCCATTCTCCTGAACAAAATGGTTCATGGCCTGTTTGATGCCTTCATCCCGATCCTCCTCCTCCTCGGCCCGCCCGGAGCCTGGAGCCAGCAGTTCCGTTTGCGTCTCAATCTCCCTCACTGTGGTCAGCGTGGAGTAACTTCGGCCCTCTGGCTCTTCGCTCTGGAGACCAAAGGCAGAGAGAGGGAGAGTTAGGGGCCGGGACACAGGGAGCCAACTGCCAAGGTGGGCGTGGGTGACCGGGGCAGGGGCAGAGGGCGGACACCAGCAGGGTTTGAGGTTGGGGTCCCAGGGGGCAAGGGCTGGCCCGGAGACAGGAGCACAGTGGAGCAGAGATGCGGGGGCAGTGAAAGTCAGAGCTGAGGTGAGGGGAGCTGGTGGGGGGCTGCTGACACCCCACATCTGGGACCAGGAGAGGGGCCTGAGAAGAGAGGTGGGGACGCCGGTGGGGCCGGGGGCCTCACCATCACAGAGCAGCTACTGTTGTCCTTGAGACTATCCGGGTGGCCCTCGGCTCTCAGCCCTACACTCTCCTCCGGCTGCAGGGCCGACACGGGGAGGGGTTAGAACAGAGCTCAGCCCCCTCCCCTCAACTCTTCACCCTATCTCCGACCAGCCTCCTCCCTTATCCCCTGCCCCCTGCCCCCTGCTCTCTCCTTAACACAAACATCCTCATCGCCACTCCCCACCCCCCAATCCCACCTGGAACCAGTGTGGACAGCAGCTTCCCAGAGCAGCCCCTAGGCGAGCAGGGCACCAGCAGACCCCAAGCAGCTGCACACACACCCCAATTCCACCCCCAGCCCAGCCTCAGAGCTGGAAGAGGCCAGGCCTGTGGCCCCTGGTCTTCAGAGGGGCCCAGGCACAAGTGAACCCGTCGTGCGCCCTCCCTCGGCCCCTACCTGGCTCCTGGGGTCGGCGTGATGAGAATGCAGCCTGCGGATGGAGTTCTCTCTCGTCAGGGTCAGCTCCTCCTCACTGGAAAGACACCGGCTTGTCAGGGGGGAAGGCAGCCGCAGCCTCCCAGGGTCAGGCCAAGCGGGGGGAGACAGGCCTGGAAGTTTGGCCATCATGGTCACGGTGAGTGTGTGCCTGCAGGGGGCGGTGTGGCTGGGACTCGATGCTGAGAGCCTGAGGGCATGTGTACACCCACGAGTGTGCACTCGGTGAACTCAGTGTGTGTACTCACTCACGTGTACTGAGTAAACCGAAACTCAAGTGAACAGTGCACCTCAGGCAGAGGGTTCCTCAGCCAGCAGTGGTCCAGGCTCAAGCTCCTTCTCGCCTTCAGAAAGACCCAGTCCACCTCTCTGGTCCAGAAGCTTCCCAGACGGCCAATCACCCAGGCTCCCCTCTCTCCTTGATGCTGCCCCACCTGCTGCTTGCCTCCCCTTGCCTTCCAGTGTCCTCCACCCGCCCAGGAGCGGCCACTACTCACTATTTCTGGGTCATCTGCTGGGCCTTGCGCCGATGGTACCGGGACATGAGCACCACCACCACCACCAGGAGGCAGAACAGGAGCGCAGCGATCACACCCACCGCCACGACCGAGGCAGACACCAGGTCCACCTGCTTCACGCCGGCATCCTGAGGGTCTGCTGGAGACAGGCCGCCGTCTGAGATGCGTGCCCACATCCCTCACCCGCCGCAGCCCCCCACACACTGTGCCCCCCAACCACAGCCCGAACCAGTCCGTCTCCGGGTCCCTGCAGAACACATCCAGGCCAGCCCCCTGTGAGCAAACACTTGCCTGACTGGCCTCTTCAGTCCTGCATCCTGCTGCCCTCCCTCAGCAGGCCCAGGCCCAGGACCTCAGCCCAGCCCAGCCCCGGTGCTTACCAAGAACTTCCACCGTGACCTGGAAATCCCTCGAGGACAGTGCATTACTGACGTGGCAGACGTAGATGCCACTGTGCTCGGTGGTCAGCCGGGGAAAGCCCAGAGTGGCCCCTTCCACTCGGACCCCACTGGGCAGAGGCCCGTCCAGCCTAGAAGACAAGGAAGCTGATGGGTACTGGCTGGGGCAGGCTGAGGCTGCCACCACCCAACGTGCCCGGACAGCTCCCCACCTCCCTCCCCCATGACGTCACCCAGCGCCGCAGGCTGTTCCCACGGTGCCCCTCCCTCCCCTAAGCAGGCCTAGGCAGAGGCCCCTCTCTCTGCCGCCCAGCCTGACCTGGGCACCCCACACACACACTCGGGAAAGAGCTACACGCGTGCCATCCCACAGGCGACCACAGGCATCACGTCATCTAACTCTGGGTACCAGGACAGGGCTGCAGTAGGGCACACACATGTGTTATAAAGTTCACACCACAGGACACTCCGCAACTATCTGGGCTCAGAAGCACGTGGAAAATGTGACTGCGTGCTCCAACACCCATGATGCTACAGGGCAGGGCGCATGGACATAGCCTAAGCCCAAGACCACATGTGTAGTTTGTATGCTCAAGTGTACACATGAACCTTTCCTGATTCTCTGGACACTCAGACTTTGAGAGACTCCTAGCAGGAGCTGCTCAGGGTGTCAAGGGTGTTTCTGAGGTGCTGGTCATATTATAGGTAATGATCTATGAATGTGGGCTATGTAACAGTTTACACTCAGCTGCATCATTCTGCTTTGTGTACTTATATAAATATATACGACATCGCTATTTAAATTATGTGTCTGATGTTCCACAATTTAAAAGTTAAAAAAGGAGAAAAAAGAAAAGCCAAGGAGTCCAGCATGCTAATGTCATTTAGTCGATTTCAGATTTCAAGATAACGATCGTGTGTCCTAAGGCAAGCCAAGACCTAGGGACCCAACGCATATTCTTGTGTTGACCTGAACATGTGCCCCAAGTTTATGTGGGTTCAGAATACATTGGCCCAACCCCATACTAAGTCCACACTGGTTCTCTCGGGGAGATTCGGGGGAGTGGGGATGGCAGGTGGGGGGGCAATTCCTGGTCTCCAGCTGGGCCCTCCCTCAGGCCTGGGCCTCACCTCGTCCAGTTGTACTCGGGAGGGGGCTGCCCTTCACTCAAGCACTTGAGCATAGCTCCTTCTTTGCCGACATGCCACAGTGTTTGGTCTTCAAGGCCCCTCACAGAGGCCTCAGTAAGGACTGGAATGGGAGGTGGCAGGAGAAAGAATGGGAATGATGCCTTTGATCATGTTGCACCTCCAACAGTCCCTACCCTCACCCCCTCCACCCTGCCTGGAATCATCTCCCCAGCCCTTCTCCATCCTACTCCTCAGCGGCCAAGGCCTAGCCCGGCCCCACCTGGCTGACAGCTCCTGGCCACACATCTCCCTCCCCCACTCTGAGCTGAATCCACACTGGTTTCCCTGGGCCCCGGATCGGATCGGATCGCTAAGTCCTTTAGGGGAGCAACTGAATAACTCTTTTCCTTAGTCCCCCACGGTGACAAGTGTAGTGCTCACCACAGAGCAGGTGTTCAATTAAGACTCCCTGACCCTTGAGAGGTTGAACAATTACATTCATTCATTCATTCCTTTCACAAACACTTGTGGAGGGCCTGCTCTGTGCCTAGGGCTGGATTACTATGAATGAAAAACAGTCCTATCCTCTCAGGGACTCAAGGTCTAATGCTGGGAAAACCATCTATTGTTTCCCAGGTACATTGTATGTGCTGATCCCTATGCACGACGCTTGCAAGTCGTGGTTTCTAAGTCTCATCAGAACCCTGTAAAGGGGCTGTAATTAAACTCATTTTGCTGATGACGAAACTGAAGCCTAATGAGATTACGTAACAGCAGGGAAACAGTAGAGGTCGGGCTTGTCCCAAACCTACCCGTCTCCAAACCTAAAGCCCATGACTGGAGTGTTGGCGGAGCAATGGTAATGAAGCAGTTGGCTGCTAACTGAAAGGCCAGAGGGTTGAACCCGCAGCAGGCCTGCAAGAGGTGATCTGCTCCCATAAGGATTACAGCCCTGGGGCAGTTCTATTCTGTCCTATGGGCTCAACAACAAACCATACACTGTCCTTGTCACTTTTGTATTTGATTCTCCAAAGGACCTTGAGACACAGAACCATCCCTTTGTAAAGAGGATGGCACAGCAACTCAGAGAGGTCTAAGCAGTTTGCTGAGGTCACCGTGTGGCACTGGACCCCAGGTATTTGATCAGGGGATGAGCGAGGGCTCTCTCAGCCACATAACGTGCTCTCTCGAGGAGGATCTGGGCTGTCTCACCTGGGGAGACTCCTGAGGTCTCATCAATCCCCTCCGAGCCCCTGGAAACCCCCCCCCCCACCTAAGCACCCCAGTACTCACAAGCCACTTGGAGAATGTGGGTGATCCTTTGGTCCTGGAGCAGGCCAGGGTGGGACACCACACAGGTGAGTGGCTGCCCATTCATGCTTCGGCTGGGCACCAAGCGGAACTCCGAAGTGACAGCCGCAGAGCGGGAATGCTTAAAGGAGCGGCTGGAGGGTATGCCCTTGACCTCTGTGTCCCAGGTCACGCTGGGGGCCGGGCTGCCCTCGGCTGTGCAGGAGGCTGCCAGCGTCAGGCCCTGACCCTCTTCTAGTGCTGGGCCAGGATTCAGCGAGGGCAGGGGAGGCACTGCGGGTGGAGAGACACCAGGTCTGCACAAGCCCAGTGGGGAGCCCCAGCCCCTCCCATCTTGGCCTTGCACAGGTGCAAAGTTTCAGGCCCCCTTTCCTTCTTCCCTTACTTCACCAGCAAAGACATCAGATGAGTGGCAACATTTACGGGGACTTTTACCCTTGTCTTTGCACCTTTCTCCCTTGTTAAGAATTTCTACAGTGAGCCTGAGTCACTTTTTCAAATGCAAACAATGAAGTCACTTAAAAACAAACCAAGTAAACAGCTGTATAATACTAATAGCTGCCCCCTTATTACGCACTTACTATGTGCCGGGCATTATGCCTTATAAGCACTTTACACACATTTTTTCATCTGGTCAGTGAAGTAGGTAGTATGATTCCCATTTTACAGGTGAAGAAACCGAAGCTCCAGGAGGATAAATGACTTGTCTGAGGTCATCAGCTATTAGGTGACAAAACCTAGATCCAACGCTCAGGGCTTTCTACTGCAAGGCTTCCAGTCAAATAAAGGGGAAATACAGAGGCTTGCACTTTTCTCTTCACAACATCAACAGCCCAGGCACAGAGTGGGAGAGATTGACTTTGACCATAGGTCAAAGGCATCATGCACAGCGAAAACGGTGGCTTCAAAGGTGACACCCCACCACCACCTAATTTACAATGAAAAAGTGTGTTCAAAAAAATAAAGGTATCATACGCTGACTTGTACATTTAACAATGGCTGCAATGACCAATGTTTTGTTGCATATATTTCACCATACTACAGCGGCCACGGCATAGCTGAACCTGTGTGTCCACATCGGGGCTACAGAGGTTAAGAGAATGGAGCCCAGGATGGGAAACAAGGGTTGGGTATCGACGGTGGAACTGATGCAGGAACCCTTGAGTTTAGCTTGGAGAAGCGTAGGTTTGGGTGGGGCATGGCACAAGCCCTCCTCTCTTTGGAAGCCTATTGTGTAGAAGAGAGGATATGCCCGTGCAGTGTTGCTTCAGAGGGGCCAATAATAGAGGGCGATCTCACTTCCGCGGACCGCAGAACTGCCTCCTCAGAAGCCCAGCCTGGCCGACCCAGGCCAACCCAGCTGTCTCAGGCTGTTGGGAGTTACTTGGCGAGAATTTCTGGATAGGTGGGAGGATGTGCCGGGTGATTCAACTTTCTTCAAACTGTCTTCCAGGACCCCACTTCTTACTCCAGTTCTTCTCTGCCCCGGTCCATCTCTGCTGCTGCCACCTTGGCTCCCCACTGTCCCCAGCTTCTCCTCCCTGCGATGCCCAGCCTGGGGCCCTGGCCCCTCCCGCCCCCACCCCACCCCCGCTTCCCCGGCCGGGCCTTGCTCAGCTGCCCTCACTTACCCAGCACGCGGAGCCGCAGCCGCGCCTGGAAGCTGCCGGCTGGGAAGGTGCTGACACGGCACTCGTACTCGCCCTCGTCCGCCTGCACCGCGTTGCGCAGGAGCACTGCGCCATCCAGGGGGTCCCGCGGGGGCGGCGGCTGCTCCACACGGCCCTCGTAGGCGGAGCCCACGTGCAGCCCGTATTTGGAGTGCAGTAGCGCCAGCTCCTGGGCGCCCTCCGCCGCGTCCACGCGAGCCCACGCCACCTGCCCCACCTGCTCATCAGGGTCTCCCCGGTAGAAGCAGGGCAGTTTTGCATCCTGGCCCAGAACCACCGTCACCAAGTCGGTGGTCTCCAGTTCGCCCGCCGAGCACCAGCCTGCGGGGACAGACAGGGGCAGCCAGGATTAGGGGCCCTGCGGGAGCCAAGCCGGGAAGCACTTATTCATCAGAAGGATGACAGCGGAGGCCGCCGGAACTCCGGGAGCATTTTATGCTTGCGAAGCGTTTCCAGTCCATTACCTCATTAGAGCCGCAACACATTCCCAGGAGGTAGGCGTTATGATTGTGGCCATTTAACAGATGAGGAAACTGAGGCTCAGAGAGAGGAAGTGAGTTGCCTAAGGCCACACACTGGTGGTTTATGGAAGAGCCACATCCCTCTCTGGGTCCAGGATGGTATCCTGAGCAGCCGTGAGGGAGGCTGTGATGGGAGGCTATCACAGGACCCTGGCCCCTCGGGAACTCACAGTCCTCCCAGGCCGATGGGATGTACATGCACAGAACCAGGGGAACCCCAGGCAAACACTTTCACAGGTGAGGGCTCAGCCTTCCCCGGGGGTGGGGGAGTAAAATGTGTGCTTTCAGTCAGCGTGGCCAGGAGCCACGGCAACAGTGGTCAAGAACAGTCGGTGTCTGTGATGGGGCAGTAGGGGCGGGAGGCCCTTTGGACGATTCTTTGCATGGTTTGAAGATGAGGGACTCGGATTCCCAGAGAGCAGGAGATACTCTGTGGGAGGAATGGTATGGACGGAGGCTTCAAGACAGGAATGAGCAATGCACTGATGAGAGGGCCCAGGTCAGAGGCCCGGAGAGATGAGGTCAGGGCAGACACCCAGCAGCAGGGGAGCCGGAATCAGAGGACCTGGGATGGGGGCCGGAGCCACAGAAGTACCACAAGCATCTTGCACACCGACTGGCGACAAGGAGCTCAGGGGGTGATAGACTCAGAGGCACGGTAATATAGACCCCATCTCCAAATAAGGAACCTCTGCCTGCCTTCACGGAACATGAAGTCTGCTCGGGGGTGGGGGTGGGGGTGGGGGTGGGGGAAACACAAGGAGTCCGCTGCGGAAACGCTTCTCAGTGGTATATTGCAGGGCATTTGTGGGATGGGGCAGTCCGTGTGGGCCCAAGTCATCTGGGAGGCCGCGGAGACATTGAGTAGGATCAGGAAGGGAAGAAACCTGGAAAGACATTCCAGGCAAGGAAATCAAGGTGAGCAGATACCAGAGGGGTGGGGAGACTCAGGAAGCAGGGGGGAGAGGAAGTGAGGCCGGGTGTGTGTTTTGAGCAGGAGTGGAAAATACACGGTTGGGGTAGGGCGGGGTCAAATGACTGGAGACTTTTCCAGGCCAGGCACAGGCATCGGGTTCTATGCAGAGGGAATGGGGGGCCTGAGTGATGCAAATGCCGGTGGCCTCAGCTGCTAACTGAAAGGTTGGCTGCTGAAGGACCCGCCCCCACCCCCACCCCCTGCCCAAAGGCACCTCGGAAGAAAGGCCTGGAGATCTGCCTTTGAAAGTCAGCCACTGAGAACCCGCCTGGAGCACAGTTCTACTCTAACACAGTGGGGCTGTCGTAAGTCAGAACAGATGCAGCAGCAGCTCATTGGGCTTCTTGAGTTAAAGAAGAGATGGGGAGTCACTGGAGGCTCCTTAGCCAGGGAATAGTGTGAGGAAGAGGTCACGTGTAGTCTGGCTAAAGACCAGGAGGCTGCTGGGTGTGACTGCAGCTCTGGGACAGTGTTGTTGGGGCAGAGAGGAGGGGACAGCAGTTCCTGGGGGGAAATTTGACAGCATTTGGTCACTGACTAGAAAGAGAGAGAAGGGGAGGAAAGGGTCAAGGACGACTCACTCCCAGGTTTCTGGGTAGAACAAATCTTGAGGATGGCAGAGGCTGGGGAACTTCCTGGCTTAGAGGGACACACATTTGGAGCCACGGATGAAAACGTGGACAACGTAGGCATGGGGGCTTCGGGTCGAGTGGAAGAGCACTCTGAGATGGCAAGAGTCCCGGTTTTGGAATTTGTGCCATCAGTTCCCAACATCCTGGTAGTCCCTGCCCCTGGCCAGCACCTCACACACCCTGCTGCTTCTCATCTTTGTCAGCAGCCCCTGCCTGGAATGCCCTCCTCCCTCTGTCTGGTAGCTCCTACTCATTGTTGTCTGGAGAGCTCCTACTCATCCCATGAGGCTCCGCTTAGGCATCACTTCCTCCTGGAAGCCATCCCTGCCCCTCTCCTGCAAACAGCAGCAAGGGCCCTGCCTCTGGACGCTAAGCCCGCCTAGCACTCAAGGGCTGTGGTTACTCTTTCCTTGTCTTTCTGCCCTCCCCGACTGAGCTCCTACCGGAGTAGAAGACACTGGGTCTCGTAGCACTGAATTTCTGGCACCTAACCGTACTCCATGTTTATTGGTTGAATGAGCTCATGGGTGAGGCAGACAGAAGACGGGAAGCGGAGAATGAGGAAGAATGAAAAGGAGTGAGCCATCCTTGGCGACACTAAGTAGGGGGTTGCATGGCAACCTCCGTGTGGAGGCAGGTGAGGCTGGCCAGTGGGATCACTGCCAAAGAAGGCAGCCCTAGACTGGACAGAGAAAGAAAGGAGGAGCAGGGTGAGGAGACCTGTAGGCATGGAATGATGGAGGGCAGTTGGAGTTTGGGGACCAAAGGGTCCTAGTGAGGCAGAGCACGGAACACGGGCCAGGAAGGGGGTCCTGTGGCCCTACTGGCAGGGGTGGAGTGAGGGAGGATGCTGCTGGCAGCTGGGAGGGCCGAGCTGGGACGGGACAGACCTGCAGGGCCGGATACCAAGGCCCTGACCTGCCTAAGCCGCTGTTGGTCCCACCCAGCCCAGCCTGGGAGTCCAGCTAACCATTGCACTCCTCCCAGGCACCTCCACCCGGCATGACCGGGTCTAGGGCTGCCAAGGAAGTGCAGGGGTGGGATGGGATGGGGGCTTCCAGTTCATCCAGCACTTTTGTCTGTGCCGGCTACAGAGATACCAAACCCGGCCCCCCTTTAGAAGGGGACATTCAACCCCTTCTAAAGACTATTCCTAAGACCACGGGGGACAGCATCTTTCTCACCCCCACCTCTCCACTAGCCCCACACCAGCCTGCCTTCTCCATCACCCGCCGATCACCCACTTTCCCCCCCAAATCTTAGGGCACAGCAGGCACCAGGTACTGAGCATATGCCCAATGCTCCATGACCCTACCTGAGAGTTCAAGATCCCTAAGCCCAAGGAGTAAGCCTAAGCTTTGCAAGATGAAGGACCCAATACCACTGGACAGGACCTTCGGTCTCTACTACCCCCTCCCCAACCCCGGTCTCCCAGCCCCAGTGTCCTAGATTGACTACTTAGTACCTTGGACTGAGGCAACACCACCTCCAGCTCTTGATCTCTCTCGCTCTCTCTCTAAGACAGCGGTTCTCAACTGTCCTAATGCCGCAACCCTTTAATACAGTTCCTCATGTTGTGGTGACCCCTCAACCATAACATGTTGTTGCTACTTCATCACTGTCATTTTGCTACTGCTATGAATCAGGCGAGCCCTGTGAAAGGGTCGTTTGACCCCCAAAGGGGTCTCGACTCACAGGTTGAGAACCGCTCCTCTGAGAGACTAGGGGCCCACAATCCCCAGCCGCTAAACTGACTTGACAGCCCGGACTCCCAGGCCAGGGCAGGCCAGAGCTGCCTCCCGTTTCTCTCCCCCACCCAGTGCCTGCCCGGCGTCAGCATGATGATGTCACCAGTCCAAAGGAGACACGCTGCCTGCCCGGTGAGGTCACCCTGCAGGCGTGTGGTAGCCAGGTCAGGCTAGCCCACCGTGAACTCGGGCTAAGTGGGTGCTCCTCCCTCTGACCCTCCCCACCCCTCCTCCGGGGAGCACCAGGACGCTGGTCCGGAGCCTTGGTGACTAAGAAGCTGCCCCGTGCACGCGCGCTCGCGCAAACACGACAGCAGGCTTAGCCACAGCCGCCGCCGCCTTGCGCAAGGGAGAGAACAGGCCCAACTGGCCAGACGGGCTCCCTGCCCTCGGCCTTCCCACCCCCGGCCAGGCCTCCAAGGGCCTCTTTGGGGCCCTGCCCTCTGTGTACCCCACCCGCCCTCTCCTAGACAGGCCCTTGGCAAGGCTGCACCCCACCCGGTGTCCAGATCTGTGCTTTCCTTTCTGTGTAAGACCTGCAGTCTGGGCTCAGGAGGGGACACTGAGGCTGCCAGCTGCAGATACCCAGGCATGGGTCAGCATCTTTGAGGAAGGGGGGCTTTCTTCACAAGGCTCTTGTCCCTGTCAGCATCTCTCTGCTAGTCCCTCTGGGGGTACGCGGGTGGGTCGGTATGAATCTCGAGTGTGGACAGAGGCATGGCCAGTCTCTGCACTTCCGGGGAGGCCGCG